TGCTTTAAGAGGGGAGGGCTTCCACTCCCAGAATCCCCCACCCAGCCTGCTTTAAGAGGGGAGGACTTCAATTCCCAGAATCCCCCAGCCAGGATGCTTTAAGTTGGATGGACTTGAAGTCACTGAATTCCTCAGCCGGCATACTTTGAGATTGGTGAACTCCAACTCCCACAATCCTTAGCCAATCTACCTTAAGAGAGGTGAACTCCAACTCCCAGAATTCTAATTAATTACTTTGCTAGTTAGAAGGTCGCGAAAGGGAGATCACGGAACACTGCGACCGTCCTAAATAGGAGCCAGATCCCCAGCCTCTGAATTTTGACCATAGGGAGGTTGCAAAACGGTCATAAATGTGGAAAACGGTCATAATACCTTTTTTCCAGGGCCATTGTAACCTCAGCCACTAAATGAACCGCTATAAGTTGAGGACTGCCTGTCCTCCACCCCCAAATTGTTCCACCAATCACCCAGGTGAGGAAAAAAGAAAACTGCCCCCCAAGAAACCACCAAGCTGGAGGACGGAATACGACATACAGCTGCCGGACGAATCCGAGCTCTGCGAGTTGCGATCGCGGGCGTCCTTGTCTGAGGCAATCTGCCGCGTGATGATCACGTCAATAAAGTTGGCGGCAGTGATGGTGGTCTTGCCCCGTGTGCGGAGCTCCTCCTCGTACTTGGAGATGGAGGGGGGCCCTTTGTCCTTCCCGGCCTCGGAGTAGACGGCCGACGGCGGCAGGTTCTGGGATTTGCTGGTCGAGAAAGCCGCCGAAGCCGAGGCGCCGTAACCGGAGGCTCCCCTCTTCTCCCCATCCAGCGCCTTCTGCTCCATCGGTGGCTGCGGCGGCTCGCTGACCACCGAGGACCTGCGCCCCGGGTTCTCCTCTATCCGTCCACCGTCGTGCTTGCCCTCCTTGGACTTGGCCACTTCCATCTGCGGAGCAGAGGCGGCTGCGTCCACCAGAGCGGCCAGCGCGTCGGCGGCCGTGCTGTAGCGGGAGGACGGCAGCCCTTGGGTGATGGAGGGAGCACCGGGAGGCAGCTGCCTGTTGGGGGAAGGAAAGGAGGATTGAGAGAGAGGAGAAAAGAGAGAGAGAGAGAGAGAAAGAAACATCCTCCAGGATTATACATATTGTCCAAAATTTCTGCAACTGTGAAGAGGGAGGTTGAGGCAGAGATCGGGGGTGAGGGGTGGGGGGCTTGAGCAGCTCAGATAAGATACCCACCAGGTCCCTTCTGGGGAAAAGGCCCCGGTTGGGTTGAATTTAAGAGGGAACTCGGCTACAGGGCTTGTTGGCTTTAAATCCAGGATTAGGAGCCGCTATGGGAGGGAGGGAGGGAAGAAAAGAGGGAGGGATGGAGGATGAAAAAAAGGAAGGGAGGGAAGAAAAGGAGGGAGGGATGGAGGGAAGGAAAGAAGAAAAAGAGGGAGGGAGGAATAAAAGAGAAAGGGGGGAGGGAGGGAAGAAAAGAGGGAGGGAGGGAGGAAAAGAGGGAGGGATGGGGGGAAGGAAAGAAGAAAAAGAGGGAGGGGAGGAAGGAATAAAAGAGAAAGGGAGGGAGGGAGGGAAGAAAAGAGGGAGAAAAAGAGGAAGGGAGGGAGGAAAAGAGGGAGGGATGGAGGGAAGGAAAGAAGAAAAAAGAGGGAGGGAGGAATAAAAGAGAAAGGGAGGGAGGGAAGGAAGGAAGGCGAAAAAGAGGAAGGAAGGTAGGAGAAAAAGGGAAGTGGGGAGGAAGAAAGGGAGGGAAGGAAGGAAGGAGAAAAAGGGAAGGATGAAAGAAGGAGAGAAGATAGGAGAGAAAGAGGAAGGATGGAAGGAGAAAAAGGGAGGGGGGAGGAAGGAGAGAAGGAATAAAAGAGGGAGGGATGGAGGAAGGAGGGGAGAAAAAGAGGGAGGGGGAGGGAAGGAAGAAAGGGAGGGAGGGAAGGAAGGAAGGAAGGAGAAAAAGAGGGAAGGATGAAAGAAGGAGAAAAGAAAGGATAGAAAGAGGAAGGGAGGATGGGAGGAAGAAAGGAAAGAAAAAGAAAGGAAAGGAAAAAAGTGGGAGGGAGAAAGAAAGGAAGAAAGGAAAAGGAAAAAGGGGAACAGGAGGAAGAAAGCAAACAGAAAGGGGGGAGTGAAGAAGGATGGAAAAGGAAAAAGGAGGGGAAAAAAGGAGGAAGGGAGTGGTTTTGCAGAAAACTGGAAGTGGGTTTGTTTAACAACCACAGCATTCACTGTACGACGGCTGGGAAAAGGTCAGGATCGTCACGACGTTCGACTCTAAACAGTCAGGCTCCATTGGTGTCGTATGTCCTGGACCTCCCTACAGCCCTTCCCCAATCCCCTCCCCTCCCCAGGAGATCCTAGAGACGCTTCTGGTGGCGAGGAAACCCACCCGCGGCGGCCCAGGCGGAACACTGAGAACTCAAAAAGACGACGTACATGATGCGCAGCTGGGCGGCCGGATCCAGAGGGCTGATGACGCTCGTCCCGTTGGAGCCCTGAAAGATGCTGGGCCGTTGCTGGAGGATGGGCTCCTGGCTCCGGACAGAGGGCGACGGCGAGCGGACGTAGCCGTGGCTACCTCCTTTCCCTGGCGGCTCGGTGCCTGGGGAAAGTGCGCGGAAACGGAGTCAGCGGATACCGTGTGATCCCTGAAAATAGGACCTACCCCCAAAATAAGCTCCAGCCTGTTAGATAGATGGATGGATAGATAGGTAGGTGTTTTGTGATTATGATCATGGTTTATCGCTTGTTGCTTGTATGTACAGTGAG